ATAATATTCTTATACTAAAAAATAAATATAAACAGAACAAATTAAAAAATAGTAGTAATCCACTATTTAATTACTAATTTGGTAACAATTTATTTTTAAATATTTTTCGAAATATTCTAACAAAAAGTATTTCCGGTGATTCTAAAGTAAGTATATGTATTTGTAAATAGAAAAACCGTGTACTACGTCCACAGATGTGAAAATAGTTACCGGTTTAGGGCAGGCGCGACAAAACACAGTTCGTTCTTGAAGAATAAGTTTAGGAAAAGGTTTAATCCATAAATTAATTTGAGTTATCTTCGACATGTTGATACACTTGTATCCCTTTAAATGCTTTCGATTTAAACTCGCGATGAAAAATAATAGTATAACGTCCCTTCGACCACCACTAAACGTACCACTTAACTAACGAACAAAAGTATTGGGAATGAACGGTATTTTCAAAAGTAATTAGGGCGCGAATTTACCTGGAAGGATGACTTAACACCCAGTGGTGTCTCCAAACTACCATAAAACTCAAACCTTTCGTAGTTATTTGAAGCTCAGGGCAATATTTGCAATATGATTAATAAAATTTCGTCTTTCTAGATAAATGCCGATAGAATGACAATTTTTTTTTTTTCAAATTAGCACAAAAATTGAAAAAAATGCAATTTTTTTTATAGCTGTATTCATTTTTAATTGGCATGATTCGTTCACATATTAAATATCAAGACTTATATGCAAAAAATAACGGATATGCAAATTTCATAAAATCCGCTCTCTAGTGATAAAATGGCTTGAAACGGACCCACGCAGTACCAATGCTTTACAGTTTTTCCGTTTATTGGGATCAATATCTCGCTTATTGTGATCAATCTCGAAATTCTTATTATACAAGCGGGAATTGCTTTTTTGGAGAAGTGAGACGACTGAAACTGGTATTGTGTTTTAATGAATATTCATTGCTTTCAAAAAGTACATTTGCTTATACTACTCCCTTTGTACAAACACAATCAGGGACAGTTTTGCGTAATCAGTGCGTTTTCGTCTTTTGAACGAACGAATTTTTTCTGTTTTAAATTTGAGTAGGTACTTAAGTAAATATGAGCAAGTCGAAATGACAAGATCTCAGCATATCAAAGAAGTTGGAGATGCTAAGACAGTATGACCGCTCCCATTATGGATGAGCCAGCGTAAGGTCGCGGTTACTTTAAAAATTTCTCAGCCCTTACTTAACAAACTTCTACAAGAATCAAAGGAAATCGAGTGTTCCTTTTTCATAATGGTAACCAAAATTTAAAATAAATTCCAACGTTTATGTACCTGCATCTACAGTGTAATAAACACTGTCTTGTTCATGATTTTGTTTTGTTTCGAGTTTTACTGTCTCTGCTGGTGGTTTTCGCTTATTATTATCAGTCGGTTAGTGGGATCATTGATCAATTTGTCAAGTCCCAAAGTGATCACATTAAGCAGCGTCCACTGTATTTTCAAAAATAATATAATTTATTTTCAATCACTGCTAGGAATTAGGTTTTGTAAATAGACGCGAGTTATTTTTTCAGGGCTTTTCAATTATTTTATTTAGTTTGCTTAATGGTGTTAGCTATAAGACTAATGGTACTAGCTGGTGCTAGCTCCAAACTATTAGGTGGTAGGTTCTCGTTGTCGTTAAATTATATTGAGGGGTTAGCGTTAACTTAGCCCCCTCTCCGAAAATAACCCTTTATTTTATGACTTTATTTAATAAAAACACATTTTTTAATGCATTCAGCCAGTGCTAGATTAATGGTGCCAGCTGGTGCTAAACCGAACTAACTTTTCACGGGAATTCAATAATTTCGGGGGCTACAGTTAACTTGTCCTTCCCCCCCCCCCCAAGTAAAAGACTTTTATTTCAATAATTAGATATTACTAGCTTTTTGATTGATGGTGCTAGGCTAGGTTAGAACAACGAGGTGCTAGCTTTTGAGTAAAATTCATTAACTTGGTGTTGCCAAGTTAATGGACCCCTTTTAACTCCCCTATACATAATATCGTTGTACTATTGTATCATGTATCATTCCTCATTTGCCTTTCTTTTTTGTTTGAGGAAGTCCTATTATTTCATGTTTTGCTTTTTTTAAATTCTTGTGCAAATTTTTGTGCACAAAGGAAATGTTCAACCTTTGAAGCAATTATTCTTTCGTGTATATTTTGCATGTTTAAGTGCACATTTGGCAGTTTCTCTGGCGATTACTAGCATAGCATCGATCCTGACCTTTATTCTCTATAAGTACATAATACTAATGTTATTTTATGGTGTATTAGTTATTCCATCATGATTAAAAATCCCTTGAGAGTAGAATATTGTTCCAGTGCTTCGGTCTTTGTATCGAGACATTTGGTCTGATGTATTTCTGAGCTAATGTTTATCTATTGGTCCTATACATGAAGCTAAACCGGCGCTTATGCCACTGTTAATCATCTTTTATGTACAATATCATGCATTTAGTTGCATTTGATACGGTGCCGCAATATTAATGGTTTTCCCTGCATAAACTTAATAAAGATCCGAGGCAGAATTCCGCAGTACTGAGTTTTTATTTTAAAACAAAAATCCTTGCGGTATCGATTTAGTGCTAAGATTAACAGAATATTACGTGCTTCGAGTTTCTGGGAGATTAAGATCGTTAAATTTTTTCCCTGCAAAATCGCTACTTGAGCAATCAATAAAAATGTAAACTGCTTTAACCATTCCAATTAATAAATTAAGCTTAGCTGTGGAATAAAATGGTATGTGAGCTGCACAGTTTCTTTATCGGTTCCATAAAACGGATTAAAGGATAAGATCTGTTCTCCCTAAGTATTTTCCTATAACCGTTTTACGACAGCTAAAATCTATTTCATTCTAACTCATTAAGTTTAAGTGCACATAAAGAAAGAAAAGATATGATGGGGCTCAAGCTGTACATTACTACTGCACTTGATTAAAGCGTCCCGTCAAATTCAGATTAAGGCTACTAGGTCACAATACAAAACCAACTCAGTTCTGTGTGCTGCTTTAGTCTCTTGGAAGTTTTTGTAAAACTGCAATAACGCCCACAAACATCGTTATTAATAGCGAGTTGAAACTTTCAAATAAATTGGTAAAGTTTTGCTTGACACAAACGGCTACAAACCGCATAATAAACGAATAATCAGAAGTTATTTAAGTCGTTAAGTAACCCTTTTTTCCACTGAGGTAAGAATTAGCTTTTAATATTGTATTTCATTACGGCACTGCAGTGGATTTATATTAAAACGGCAAACGCAGTCCTCACGACGTCTTTGATTTCCCTGTAGTTTTATACTTTGAGTAACCGAAATACCTCAAATTACATATTAATAATTCTGTGTGCTTGGGCATTTTGAAAGACTTTTTTAGATGAAGATACTACTGTTCCACAGAAAAACACATACACTTTGAAATGAAATTATTATTGGGAAGAGTTAATAATTGAAACACTGCTTCGCAATATAAGTTATATATACAAGACATTTAGACCAGCGACCATTATAGTCCTGTAATAGCATTCACGGTTCTTTTACACACGCAGAAGGCCAAGATAGTTTTTCGTAAGGTTAGCGTCAGGTACTTTCATATAACGTCCTTTTAAAACATTCGTCTTGTTGTCATTAATTTAGCTAATTTACCCGTGACAAAAATGCTAGATTGTCATCAGTTATTACCTAAAATAAATTTATTATGAGAAAAAAACACAATACTATTAACTAAACTGTTAGATTTTCATAGATAGCGCTGATTTAAAATAATCGTGAACGGTTAATAACAATAGACAAAATTTAGTTTCATATATTTAGTAAGCGTTTAAATGTATAGTCAGCATAGACGCATAAGTGCTTTAGTAATGGGGACAACTATTAATTCCACCATGTGTTTTTATGACCGAGAAAATGAACAAACCTACAGAATAAAAATTACCCGTTTTCATTTATTACGTTATCACATTTTTCTTTTATCCAAATATGTAAGCAATTTAAGAATTAAACTGGATAAAATTTTAATGGATTTCTTAAAAGGACGCTCCAAGTACATTCTAAGTACATTAAATACATCAGGGAATACTCAAATATATTGCGAAAACGCAAAGAACGTCAAGCTGCGTCAGCATCATAATTTTATTCGGATTAAAAAAATACGCAGCCTCCCAGTTTCATCTTTTTTAATAATTCGAATTGGAGAGAGTAGGTAAATAAATAAGGAAGGGAAAAAATCGAAATGTGGAGCTTTGTGTATTCATAACAAAATACCTAGCCACTCAGATTTAATTAACAGCTTTGTCACTCATTTATGTAAATATACATAGTTAAGTGTTTTTATAATGTCTAGACAATGTTGTCTTTAATTGTTGGCAGGTGAACGCTTGACTTAAAATGGTGAAGTTTTATAAAAGTAAAATAAAGAACGAGCTACAATATTAAACATTTATTGCTGCCGTGCACACAATGGAAAATTATCATTTAAACGAGTATGTGAAGACGCTACATCACTTATCTCACCTGCATTATACCCAAGAGTCCAATGTCGACCATACTTCCATAAGGGAAACATTCATTTAGAACTTCCCCAATAAGCAGTTCTCCTCGTGGCAAACATTGTGAATTAGTGCAATAATTGATCATCTTTGCAATATAGTTTTATCCTAGCTGCAATTTCCATATAGATTGCTGATTTATTTGTGATACAGGATCAGTCTTCGCTTTAAATGAGTCTAGCCCAGTAAGTGGATCAATTTTAAGCTCATTTCAATAGATTATTCGCGATTAGCTTTTCCATCGATTATTTGTGCTGGTTGTGTGATATCTAAATTAGATTGCTCCTTAATAATTCAGCCGAGATGAAACTCCTTAATCTTAAATTATGTTAGAGAAGGCTCCATTAAGTTAAGTGAAGGATGAGGCGAACATTGTAATGTTGACAAATTCAATTTGAGAATTAACGTAATTATGGAAAGACTGCGTCAAAAATTTCTACTTTATACTTCTGGTTTGATGGATCGCTTGCCAAACACACCCCATATAAACCGCAAGGTAAAGAAGTATGGAATTTCGATGAAGCTTATCACGCTACATCCTAGGAAAAGGCCAAATAATCCACCCGCTTGAACTAAAAATAAAAACTATAAAATTATGTAATTAAGCAGTCCAGGAAAATTAGGTAGCGAAATTTTTAATTACTATGTAATGACATAATTTCTGTTTATGTCATTAATTCATATGGTTGTAGAAATAGTACAAATTTTGTTTTTGTCGCTTTCCAGTTTTTATTAATCTAATATAATTGATGACTTTATAATGTACATATTATCATATGTACCTATTTTTTATATTTCTATTACCTATTGTTATGATATGTAGTAAGTTTCAAAACTCACATTTATTCACTGTCATTTTCTTTTTTTTTGTTAATGAACGAAAATCTGGTTACCACTTGTATTTTAATTATACAGGGTCAACTTAAATTTTACAATCTTCATTGCTACTTTGTTTCTTTGTAGCTTCTGTGTTGTTGCATTGAAGTACGTCAGTATTACACGCAGTAATAATTAACATTATGGTGTCGATGTCGGCAAGCACAACAATGAGTTGATATTCTAACCTTTGCGAAGCTTATGATAGATCTTAAATACAACTTGTTTTGTTTTTATAATAAACACATTTTCATACAATTGCATTCCCATTATTAGAACACAACTTTTTCTTATTCTTTAGGTTTTTCATAGTGTTCTCTTCTTCGACATTTTTACTTGCTATTTTAGAAATATTCAGATCTTTAACTTGTAATAATTTTATAAATTATTTTTCAATTATTGTTCATATATATTAATTTGTTACTATTGTTACTTCACTACTTCTATTTTATTATTTGTTCTTAGTCTTCATTTTCGGTTTATTTTTCTAAAATTCTTCGGTTTATATCAGAGTTTTCTCGTTACGCACGTGTTTTCAGTTGGAAATTATTTGATGTGTCTCTATACAATCCCTCCCAGCCTTCTTCAGTACAATAAGATTTTTTGTTACCTCGGTTATCTCGTGTTTTATTACTTTTTCTTCTTTTAATTTTCTTTTGTTTTAGGTTTTGTTGTATTGTTATATAAGATATGTATATTTATAATAAAACTTTTATCCATGTGTTGAAATTTCTTCTTGTAATTAATTTATATACTATACACAAATTCATGTTATATTAAATATTTGGAATTCGACTAGTTATTGGCGCTTAACCTGTATTTCTCGGTTTTCCTCTCTATTTGGTTTTTAAAGCGTGATTTACAAAAATCACCTTCAGCTGACATTAGGCAACGCTTCTTTTCAGCATCTGCTAAGCATTATGGGAAAAGGGACATATCATCGTCCATTATTTATATTCTTTTAATTTTTAGTTCTCTCATCTGTTAAATACTGTTTGACCCATCACTATTTCGGTCTAATACACTTTAGTATGTTAACTGAAGTTAACAAAGCAGAATAAAAAACTGTTCGAGGAGAATTTTAATTAATTTAGCTCTCTAATTTTCGTGGACCAATGGTTGCTTCTTATATTACTCAGAAGATCGGTTTTTGAAAAAATGAGTGATCTTCTGTATCTTTCTGTTGGAAATGTATTAAAGCTTATGGTGAGAGTGGAGTCCAAAAACCAAGGACTCGCTGAATCTATTTCAAGATTCACCACTTGGTCGTTACAATTCTGCAAGCAAGAACAGAGAATATCTTCTGTTTGTGGATCAATAAGCGTTATCAATTCTGAAACATTTTTTATTTCAGATTTCCCATCTAACTAATTTTAAGACATACCAGGGTGCTTTGACAAGCAGTACATTCCCGTCATGTTACAAACAGGTTCGCCTAAAAAAGTATTAAAAAAAAAGTTATGAGGCTTTATGAACATACCGTTCCTTCTGTAGTAGTATGGAGTGCAATTGCAATACTTTACGCACAAACGCATTCTACATTCGATTCGACAGAGATTGTAACTATAAATATGGCTATATTCTAGCCCTTCAATTTCGTTGCTAAATTTACAGTTCCTGTGTGATGGTGATAAATATTTCAAATCGTCATCACTAACTATATCCAGTATGTTTAGAGAAGAGAGCAATATTAGAGTATCTGTTGCACGGAAGTAATGAGATGTAATATCAATCATATCGGTTGGAGTTGTTACAAAGAGCTGAAAATGTCACAATTGTAATAAATTTTACACTATGAAGATAAAAAGGCAAATATATGTACGTCTGTAAAAGTAAAACTAAATGTGTCAAATATTGCTTTTGCTCATTTTAAGAATTTTTAAAACTTGTTAATAGTGAAAAAGCTTGAAACAAAAGTTGCAATTCAACTAAACATTTATATTTAATAAAGATTATTTGATAGATTCGATTTTCTGTTAACATCGGTTCGAGCAGGGTATTATTAATATTTTGAATAATGCAGATGCTGTAGAAAAATTATACATAGTATGTCATGAGCTCCCGTGAGTGTCCATTTGGCATTAAAAGATTGGCAATAGCTGACTAATTCAAAAATGCATAATTGCGTTAGAATGACTCTTGCAATAAGTGGGTAGACATCTAAATTTTTTTTTTACTAAAATGCACGACATATAAAGTAACAATACTCCATAGAACAACTCTTATACAATTTGTTAAACATGCTATAATCAAGTAAAAAAACTATCAAAATGATACCAGTCGGCTTTTTTAAAACAAAGACAAAAATAGTGCATTGTTAAAAATTGTACTGCATTATAAGAATCTGTGCAAATAAGCAAAAATAGTTTTTTGATATGGAAAGGAAAGAATGAATGAACTATATAAATTAAAACTTTACCAAATAATGCTTATAAATTTTTTTCTGATTAAGTAAAATTTCCTTTTCCTTGTAGTTTCTTGTAATACTTTGAAAAGTAGAATTAAACGTAACGTTATTAATCAAACTTCTAAAATAATGTCTGTTTAGCTTAATGAAATCAATGATTTCGGAATGTTATCTAACTCTATGTCAAAATAAATTGATAATTCCGAATGAAAACAATGACAGACACCAAACTCTGTCATTATGAGCGAATATCTATCCTCTACATTTTTTGGCCAGTTAGTTTCCACAGCGCCTCTCGTGTTCTTCTTGTCAGAATCAGACGAAATTCTCCCTGAAATAATGTTTGCCACTTCTAAGTAGAGGTGGGCAGGTACAATATCCACTTTCGAACCATTAGCATATTTTTCTAAACTTGAGTACGTTAAGTAAGTATTAAACATCAAATCGTTAACATATTCTTCTATATCTTGCTCATTGAAAGAAATATTTCGCTCACTACAATAGTTTATATTAAGTGTATGCACTAATAATAGCCTTGGTTACAACTTTAAATAAGGAATCAATTTTTTTTTTAAATTTAGGTCCATATCCCCCAAACATATTATAACGCTTGGAAATTCGACCAACCAATTAAAAAAATCTTTTTCCACGGTTATGACAACGGGACGTTCATCGTATCGACGCCAAGCTTGCAATGTTTGCTGAATTGCACCAGACAACCCGGCAACCAGTAACACAATCCATAAAAATCTGTCGCGAAAATTTGATTAAAGTGAAAATTCAGAAGCGTTTGCAATCCATCACTTGCCTTTCAAAGAGAAGACGTTTACTTCGCACCACATGAATTAGACCATTCATAGAAGCAATGCTAAAAGTAAAAATTATGTGATCTTGCAAAGATTGCACAAATCTTTTCCGCCTGCATGGTTTCGGTTTACGAAAATTGCGATACATTGTCACAAATGATTCATTGTGAGGGTTTTTCACTTTTTATACGGATTAAATTTGCTTCAATAAATTATCGTTGCGGCTTGTTATATAAATAAATAATGACGTGCCGTGATTTCATTAAAAATCACGCGAAATCAATAATGTAAGCCGTGCTGGCAGAATATTAATGTTTTATTATAGATATAGCATGCAGTAATAAGTCTCACTCATCTAGGCCTGTTAATTATTAAATCGTGCTTTGTACTGTTACGAGCTGTATCTAGTCTATACACCCAAAGAGATAATGTATCTAGCTATGATTATTTGCACAGGAATAGAGATGTATTTTAGTGTTAGTCATTTACGACTTAAAGGAAAACAAGCCAAATTAAGTGTTTGTTTAAACCATACCTAATATAATGATCCATATTTTACTCATTGCTGTGAAAGAAATATTTAATACTAGCTGACCCCGTGAACTTCGTTTCACCTACAATTTAATTTTGAATCTGCAAAATCGAATGCTTTGAAATCTTCCAGATGTTTTAAACATATGATAAGCATAATAAATTTTTATTCAAAATATATTTACTTATCCCCTTCAAAAAATTGATGACGTCAGTCCAAAATTTTGCCAAATGAATCCTATCTAAAATGTCCAAAATAGGATGAGACTATACTTGTGATTTATCATTCCATTCATATTTTTTAGTTTTGCTTACAGGGGGTGTCTCAAAAAAATTAATCACTGAGTCAATTTATTTTATTAATTGAATCAAGAATTGCAAAACTGAATTTTGAAATATTGCAGAGGTTTTGAAGTTACTGTTTGACATAGTAGGTTTTCAATCAAAATATATCTGTTTATCAAGCCCAAAAACTTGAAGACGTCATCTCAAGATTTTGCCGAATAGATTCTATCTAAAATGTGGAAAATATCATCAGTATATTTTCGTAATTTATCATTGCATTCATATTCTTTAGATTTGCTTTTACAGTGACTCAAAAAAATATATGGATCAGTCAATTTATTTTAGTGAATAACTCAAGAGTTGCAAAAATGAATACTTTGAGATCTTGCAGACGTTTTAAAGTTATTGTAAGCATGGTAAATTGTTAAGAATATTTATTTATTGCCCCCAAAAAATTGATGGAATGGCTCACTCGATTTTCGCAGATAATTTTGGGAATACAATACAGTTATTTTTAGTATTACACTGCACCAATCCAAGGTGGTATACGTGTTGATCGTAAATGTTGATTAGGTCATCACAAAATTGTGTGAAGAAAAGACTCAACTCGAAAATGCTGAATATGTTTCATTATACTTTTGGTGCGAAGGAAGTTCTGTCGAAACAACGTTCGATCAATTTTTTCAGAATGGTTGATATAAATAAAAAAATAATATAAATGCTCATACTCGAAATACGAAGTATCTACTCGAATATCACATCAAAATATTTCTAGTTTTTCTACATGATGCTAATACTTCAGTAGGTAACAGTTGATGCTCAAGTAGCATCTCGATACAACAAAAAAGGACAACAGTGACAGCGTTCAACCATCAAAGCAAAAATCGAGTCACCAAAATATAAGTTAGTATGGGGTAGACACCTTGAGATGGGAATCGCTATGGCCAATGTTAGAAAAAACGCACTGCAAAATTAATGCATAAATAAAAGTTAATTACCTGAAAAGTTTTCGATATTCCTGCTCCTAATGTGTTTTTCAAACTGAATGCACCTTTTGACGACGTTCCACGTTCATGAAAGTCGCCATGTTTAGTCAAAATTCGCTCTTACAACGATCCTACTCGTTTTCTAAGCTGCTTTACAGACAGCTCAGTTATTTGCCACGCCGATCTTCATTTTTAGATTAAATGCTCACAAAACGCGTAGATGTTCAATTTGTGTTCGGGGAGATACAATGTTTCCAAGTAGGTACTCAGTACATAGAGTAGATGCTCAGGTATATAAGAGTAATAATGAAGTAGGTACTTCGTACTTCGAATATTAGTTTCTACTCAGATTTATTCATTTTATTCATGTTGATTATGAGCACAACGCTGTTCAACTTCCATATCCGAATTACCCATGAAATAAAGCATTGCGGTTTGCACCTGAGGTAGTTTGTCGCACATTTGATTGACTTCGTGGACCTATGTGAGGCTGTCGTCTTCTCGGCATTTTAATGAACTTCATAAAACGACACAGAATTATTTTCACAGTCAATCAAATCTGTAAATTTTGTCTTGAGAATTTTAAAATATTGAAAACTTCAAATTAAATCCTCGAATAACGGTAAAGTTTGAGGTTTTGTCGAAACCAACAAAGTGAATATAGGTAAATAGAATGGCAGATCAAAATTAATAAGAAACTTTCGCAATGTGTAATTAAATTCACTTTAACCAAGACTTTTCTAAAAATAAACGACGTTTTTTTTACGAAAAACAAAGAACGATTTGAAATGCAATATACTTTTCACAATCGCACGGAAGAAATAGTTTTGTATGACACGTCAGTTAGACGACAGGTGCGTCAGAAATGCCAACTATTGAAATTAATTCGAAGTGGCGATTCCCATACAAAATTTTTAAAAGATTTTTTTTATTTTTTAACTGTTCTCTTAAGTTTTCCTTATTTTTTTTATTTATAAACCATCCCCGTAATATAAAAAATTCTTCAAATCGGTCAAGCCGTTTTTGAGTCTTAGCGAGACTAACAGGAACAGCAATTGATTTTTATTATATAGACGATTAAAAAATGGGGGTTGGTGGTAAAAAGGTGAAAATTTAGGGTTATGTGTATTTTTTGATGCCAATTCTTAAAAAAATAAAAATAAAAAATTTTGTCCAAAAAATAGACCAAAATTTTTTTGGGTGGGCCACCCTTATCACTTAGGGGTTTAAAAAATAGTTTACAACCTATTCTCAGACCTACCGAATATACATAAAAAATTTCATACAAATCGGTCAACCCATTTCGGAGAAGTTCGGTTACAAACACTGTGACGCGAGAATTTTACACATAATGCATTATTATTTTAGAACAAATTTCATTACCATAAAAAAGGTTATACTGACTCGACCTTAAAAGATAGACATATGCTGTCGCGGACTTTTCTTTAGAACTTTTAGAGGGGAACAATTTCGTCATACATGATTTTTACGTAACTTTAATCGTTTAAGCAGCGTAAGCAACGGAAGCTCTCAAAGGAGGAATAATTTTCCCGTTTTTCCGAATTTTTCATTGCTACTTCGCTCCTAATGATCATAGCGTGATGGTATATAGCCTATATGTAGATATGATACATAGACTATCCAACACAAAAAGATTTTTTGAATTTGAACCAGTAGTTTCTGAGATTAACGTGTTCAAATAAACAAAAGCTTCAGCTTTATTATATAAGTATAGAAGATATTCAATGTGTAATTATTATTTATTTAAAATCAAATCTAAATAAGTAATATTATTGACGACGATGACAAAGATTAAGCTAAAGTGGAACTCATTTAACGAAGTTCATGACAATTTTAAAGTAATACTTATAGATAAAGAATCTTAAATTAATTACTGTGTTTATTTCGGAGACTACCTATTTCTTCAAAATATTTCCAAAAAATACATACCGTCACATGACAGGTGACAAACGACTAACAAAAAGGAAAGAGAACTTTCTATTTTCGTAATGACGAGGTAGAGAAAGAAAACATAAAATAATTCAAAATGGTCATATTTAAATGAGATGAAATCAGCCACATTATTGTATGCTATGACAAGTTTAAGGAAACTTGACCGAGAATTAAACTGCGTCCAATATAACAATCAAAGAACAAATAATGACAACTTTAACAAGCACACACTTACTTCCAAACTGTTAGAAAAGAAAAAACCGTACTCTGATATTCCTTAGAGACTCGTCGGAGAACTCAAAATTTGCTGTAACAATCTTTCAAAAATTATGTTTTAAGACCCCAGGTAAAAAGAAAAATACTTACAATTAAGGTAGTTCCTACAATAACTTCCAGTCAGTTTGAAGGATGATCATGATAACCAAAGATACTATATTTCTAGATTAACCAAAAATTGGTCGAAAGTTGTTTCGACACAACTTCCCTCGCTCCTGAAGAACAGTGAAACATATCCAGCATTTTCGGGTTGAGTTTTTTCTTTACAGAATTTTGTGATGACGTCATCAACATTTTTGCAAGGACACGTATATCATCTTGAATTGGTGCAGTGTTATACTAAAAATAATAGTATCGTATTCCTAAGATTTTCTGGTAAAATGGAGTGAGCCGTTCCTGATTTAAAAATAAAATAAAAAATATTAATGCAGTGATCAATCAGAAGTAAAAACTCATTAAACTCATCATAATTTGCACGTTTTGGGTAGAATTTATTCGACAAAATTTTGAGATGACGTCATCATTTTTTTGCGGGAGAATAAACAGATATATTTTGATTAACAATTTATCATGCTCACAATAAATTTAAAACGTCAGCAAGATTTCAAAGCTTTTGGTTTTGTAGTTCCTGACTAAATCAATAAAATACACTCACTCATTCATTAATTGTTTTGAGTCACCCTGTATAAGTAAATCAAAAAAATATTAATGGAATGATAAATCACAGATGTAGGACTCATCATATTTTGGACATTTTAGATGGGATTTATTCCGCAAAATTTTGAGCTGACGTCATCTATCTTTTGGACGGGATAAGCAAATATATTTTGATTAAACGATTATCATGTTTATCATAACTTTAAAACATCTGCATGTGATGACGTTACTTCAAAATTGTATGCCGTAAATGGGTTTTAAATTGTGTAAAATAACATAGTCCTAGAACTCCTACACACCCTGTTGAGTTTTTTCCAGGAACGTCCAGATTTTTGGAAAAAAAATTAAAATAATAAAACAATATTTTTCGATTTAAATTTGAATCTGCAAAACCGAATGCCTTGAAATCTTGCAGCTAGCGGCCTCTATTTAAACCCATACTTCTGCGATCGAGGTCTTT